CTCGCCGTGTGCGCCCTGCTGTGCGCGGGGGCGCTGGGTGAGTGCGCCCCCGGGCTGGGCGGGCTGAGCGCGGGCTCTGCGGGACGGGGACCTGGTTCCTGCCGAGGGTCAGCCGCAGCGGGACCCTGCACCCCCTGGGTCTGAGGAGCCACGAAGCAGCCTAGCGCCTGGGTGGCCCCAAAGTGCCTTCCGCCCAAGGTGCCCCCGGCCACCTGACCGACTTTGACCCCAGCAGAAGCCCCTTAGCGTAGGGCTGGGGTTCGCAAACAACGAGCAGCCGTCAAATCCAGCCTGCTGCCTAATGTTTTACAGCACCGGGATGAGCTAAGAATGGTTTTTACATCTTTGAATGGTTGAAAGAAAATCAAGAGAACAATAGTATTGACACATGTTAGTTACGTGAAATTCAAATTTCGGTTCCATAAATAAAATTTTATTAGAACACAGTGTGTTCCTTTAGGTAAGTGCTGTCCATAGCTCCTTTCAGGCTTCAAGGGCAGAGCTAAGTGGTTTCCACAGAGACTGTGGCCCACAAAGCCTAAAATATTTACTCAGCCTATTACAGGAAAAGTTCATGATCTCTGGCCTAGAGGCTGTTGATCCCATTTACAGTGAAGGAAACAGGGACAGAGGAGAAGGAATTTTTATTATTATTAAGAGGGAGTAAGAGAGAAGGTCACATGTCAAGTATGCTTGACTTGTCAAGTGTCTAACCAGAAGGATCTTTCCTGCTCTGAACTGTACACCACCCCCCATCCCTATGACACACCAGGAAGGTAGAGGAATGTAGGGGGAAAACCACCACCCTAAGATAGGATCCACCCAACACTCAGTGCTGGGTGACTCTAGGCTGCCCCTTGACCTCTCTGAGCTATTTTCCTCATTAGTTCAGTAGGAATTGCTTTTTCACAGTAAGTACACAGTTGTGGTGAAAGTGAAATGAGATAATGTATCTAATGGCAGAGCTCTAGATACAGGTGAGTTATCACTGGTAAAAATCCTGCACATAAATGTAGGGGGCGCTATCCTGTGTTATGGGGTGGGCAGGGCTCTTGGCTGGGTAACTGTAAGGAAGGTAATGGTGCAAAGTCAATGAGCTCAGGCATGTGCAGAGCCCTCCCTGGCTCAACAACTGTTGTTTTTGCCAGCTCTGGTTCTGTCAGGCCTTAGGCTGTTTTAAATCATTTCTGGAGCAGGATATTCTTACTTAGCTCCCTACATAATCTGGGCAGGGCAGAGGAAGGAGAAGGCAGGAAAGACAAAGAGTGCTGTGGGGGGCCCTCCCTGACCCACTACTGCCACATAGGGCCTCACAGTGAGCTCCTCAGGCGCTGGGGAAGGCTGGAAAGGTAGGTCCAGCTGTGGTCCAGCTACCTACGGCCACAGGGAAATCCAGAGCCCAGCTCCCCTGGTCTGTCCAAATTCTTCCTGAACAGGGCAGTGTTGTTTGTTCTTTCTCCATCCCCTCTCCTGGCAATGTCAGGGGCTGACCAAAAGTTCATTTTTCCAATCAGCTGTTTACAAACCAGAGGAAAGAGCTGCCTCCCCTTCTCTTGTCCCCAGGCTCAGAACACAGTGGAACATGTACCCTTCATTGTTCATGGACAGGAGTGGGAGGAGGACAGGACAGAGGGGAGGTAGCCTTCAAGTCCCTTCAGAGGGTGCTGCTGTCTCTCCCACTGGAAGGAGACCTCTGGCCTTTCTCCCCTAGGGCTGTGTCTGGCTGTCCCCGAGAAAACTGTGCGATGGTGCACCGTCTCAAATCATGAAGCCAGTAAGTGCACCGCTTTCCGTGACAGTATGCAAAAAGTCCTTTCTGAGGCTGGTCCTCTTGTCGCCTGTGTGAAGAGAACCTCCTACCTTGAGTGCATCAAGGCCATCGCGGTAAGTCACTGCTGCCTAAAGGGGAGTGGAAGACAGTCCATCTTCCTCTTGCTCCTGGTGTTCTGGAACAATTCTGTACTCACACATAGCAGCTGATGTGTGGGGCAGTCAACCCCCACTGTTAACAAAACCACTTCAGAAATGGGCATAGGAGTGGCCATCTTTAATGATTCTTAAAGCAAAATCCAACGTGCTCTGAAAGGGGACTGTTTTGAGGCCAGTTCTCTGAACTCAGGGAAAAAACAAGAATGTTTGCTATCAAAATGAGCATGTAACATTGTTTGGAAGTTCTCGACACATCATGGGAAGTAGATGAATGGTGCTCATCGGGAAGAGGGATACAGTGTCAGGATGGCAGATGGTAGTGACCCCTTTGTTTTCTAGGCTTTCCAAGATCCTCTTCACTGCTGCAGCACTGTTCCTGCTCATTTGAACCTGTGTCAGACCCTGGGCTGGGCAATGGGGCTGCAGTGGTGAATTTAAACACACATGGTCCTTACTCTTGAGGAGCTTACAGTCTAGTGAGGAGAGAAGGAAAACATGCAAACAAGTAGACATGTAATTCCAAATTGGGTGACGTACAACGAAGGGGGAAAGTAGAGTGCTCTGAGAGCACTGGGTGTCAGGGACAATCTCCCTGAGAGGGAAGAAGGAAGCTGAGACCCCAGGGATGAACACGGGTAAGCCAGGAGCCAAGGTAGAATACTCCAGGCAGTGAACAGCAGCGTGTGCAAAGGGCCTGAGGCAGGGGAGAGCTGGGCTTGTTTGAGTTGCTGTAGAGAAGCCAGGGTGACCAAGCAGAGGAAGCAGGAGGCTGGAAGGAGTGATGAGGTGGGAGAGGTAGACTCAGCAGATGGAGCTTGATTAACTCAGGGAATCAGTGATTTGGTACAAAAACTGGCATATTCTTAATTGAATCTCAGTTACTATCATGGCTTAATTATAACCCTTTAATTATGACATATGTTCAGCTTTGGTCTATGCATGCCCCTCTATATTTTTAAATATGTTAATAATATAAAATATACTATCCACAAACCCACCACAAGTTCTCAAACTTCATTATTGCCTTCTTCTAGGACTACCTCTAGGACTACTTCTAGGGCTACTTTGCGGCAGCATTGGATCTATGGGAATGGTGCCACTTGGGGTGGTGGAATCCACTGGCCCTGCTTACAGTGGCCTATGTGTTACCCCTTCCTGAGCAAACAGAATCCTGAGAATTTTCTGCCTTTTATTTTAGTTTTAAGACTTACATAGGTATGTGTGAATGTCCTTAAAGCCCCACTCCCCCATAAGGAGGGCTTCATAGTGACATCTGAGAAGGCCTCGGCAGAGGGCCCAAGATAAAGAGGTCACCAAACCAAAGCACCTGGGTTCTCAAGGTAAACATGTGTAAGAGCATTGGCCAGGCAGGAAGACCTGAGTAATTGAATGCAACCTCCTTCAGAGCCTGTGGTGCATGGGCTGTGCACCCAGTCTGGTGTGGGGAAAGCAGCTTTCCGCCACAAGATCTGCTAGTTAAAGCCTCTGTAACTCAGGTTGATCCTAAAAGATCACATGGAGGTTTCTGGGCCAAGAACCAGACTTCTCACTAGAGAAAAGAAACAATCCATTCCTTCCTCTACATGGGGGAAATAGGAATAAGGTGGCCAGGTTCCCCCACCAGGGCAGTGGGGTCAACTGAAGCTTGGGTTAGTGTGTGGTCTGGCCAAGTAGATGTTTTTTCTGGCCCCGCCAGTCACCCTCACTCACCTGGGTGTAGGTGGTCTTTCCTAGAATTGTAGGCTTCATTGGTGTCTGGTCTGTTCCTTTTCAGGCAAACGAAGTAGATGCTGTAACGCTGGATGCAGGTTTGGTGTTTGAAGCGGGCCTGGCCCCCTACAACCTGAAACCTGTAGTGGCAGAGAACTATGGATCGAAAGACAGTAAGTTCTTCCCGGGGACCCCGGAGAGTTTGTGGCTGTTGCTCTCCTGATAGATGCTTGTTCTGTCCTGGTAGACTCTCGTCTTGTTTAGGCAGGTAATGGAGGAGTGAGTGGGCAATGTGGTGCCCTATGAGCCCCACAGGCACAGCTCAGAGCCTCTGTGACTTGGGGCGGGTTGAGGACTGGTGCTGCTGACACTGATCTCCTGGGCCAGGAAATGTGCTCCCTGGAGAAACAGAGCAGGCTGTGTACAGCCCGACCTGAACCATGAGAGTTTAGAGCTGTATACAGATGTCCCCAAGAACCACGGGTGCCTCATGCAGAGGAAAGACTACACTAGAGCGAACACTCGGAGTCCCAATAGCCTTGTGTCTTTTTCTGAGAGTAATCTGACTGTCCCTGGGCCTGTGTCTCTGGGTCCCAGGAAATACTTAGAGTCAGGAATGTGGCCTCCAGTTTCCTTGTAGGCTTAGGTTGGTAGGTGTAGGCAGACAACCTGCACGGCCAGAGTAGGGAAAATCATTGGGGCACATGTGCACGTGGCTTTCTTGTCTGTGTTTGTCCCCTCTGTGGTCCTTTCCGTCCCTGCAAGCCTAGGAAAGTTATTGTGATCCCTCCCTTTCTAGGACCCAACCCCACAAAAGTGTGGCTTGTCCCTAGTCAGGAGCCCAGCAGTGATGAGCAATGTTTCCCTGAGGCCCAGGCTGCGGGTCTCCCATTCACTGTTTCTTTGCAGATCCACAAACCCACTATTATGCTGTGGCCGTGGTGAAGAAGGGCAGCGGCTTCCAGCTGAACGAGCTCCAAGGCAAGAAGTCCTGCCACACAGGCCTTGGCAGGTCTGCTGGGTGGAACATCCCCATGGGCTTACTCTACTGGGAACTGCCTGAGCCACGTGAATCTCTTCAGAAAGGTAAGCAGGCAGGGGGCTGCGTGTCCTCAGGCAGATGTCCCTTCTTTAGGTGCTACACAGGCCACCCTGAGCTCACTCAGACATGATCAGGTGGTCATGTGTGATAATTCTTGGGGTGGAGGTGGGAGGTTAACCCGCTTTAAACTGGTCAGGTCTACCACACCAGCAGCCCTTGGGACGTTTCAGCTGAGTCTGTTCACTGGGCTCTCGACACCTCAGCAGAGGCTTTTAGGAGGAGTGGAAGGGGAAGGGCATCAGTCCTGACAGAGGGTTCAGGCAGGATCAGGGTCCCTGGGCCCTACTGTCCACTTCCCTGGGGTGCTTTCCTTTGTGTGGCTCATGTGTTTCCCATTCTGCTGGAGCATTCTCTGGTGGCCATCTGCTGGCCATGAGCTTGGCATGCACCTGTCCTGGTGGGTCTCATCTCCTGGGCATGGCTTCCAGGGGAGACGTCTGTCTGAGCTGTTCCAGTGTGACGAGGCAGGGAGGGGACCTGACAGCAACAAGAGACAGGCCTTGGTTGGTGGTAGGCACAGCCCTGGTTCTTGGGGAGGGCTGTGGGAGAATAGTTGTTAACACGTCTCTTTTTGGAAACCTTGATCTTGACGAGTGAACACATACATGGGCAAGTTGGGCCTGGTATGGTGGTTCTGGTCACCCTCTGTTCACTCGTGAGCCTGGGCTGGGAGCTGTAAATGTCTTTGGCCAGGCTGGCTCATGCCCTGTGTTCCACATCTCTGTGTCGAGCAGCAGCGTCCAATTTCTTCGCGGGCAGCTGTGTCCCCTGTGCGGATCGGACAGCCTTCCCCAACCTGTGTCAGCTGTGTGCGGGAAAAGGGGCTGACAAGTGTGCCTGCTCCCACCACGAACCGTACTTTGGCTACTCGGGTGCCTTCAAGTGAGTGAGACTCCCCATTCCTCCCCTTCCCTCTGAAGATGGTGAAACTAAGGCACAGAGAGTAGACAGGGCCACCCAGACTACCTAAAGGGTCAGTGTGAAATCCAGGTCCTGAGTGCCTCCTAACCATCCTGAGGAGCAGTCTTCTCTGTGGGAGCCCCTCCTGTCTCCCCAGAGGCTGTGTTACCCTCCTGGACCCTCCTGGAGGGTGGAGGGAATAGACCCATCTCTGGGACTCTGGGATCCACAGACACAGACTTGGGCTCCCAGCTGGGTTAAAGGCCAGGATCTCCCAGTTTGCTTCTCTCTGCCTGAGCATCTCCCTGTGTCTGGGACAGGAGCCTGCCTCTCCCCACCTCCCTCTCAGCCCTGTGAAGGCACCTCTCCCTACTCTATACTCAGTAAGAGAAATGGCTGCCACTCAAAACCAGAGCTAAACTGGCCGGGAACCAAAGCTATCCAGTTTCGATCCTCCATCTAAAAAGCTTTAAACCTTTATTTTTTTTAAAAAAATCTATTCCTTTTGGCTGCCTTTGAAGAGGAAGTGAGGGTCCTACTTTCATACCATCCCTCCCCAGAGTTGCCCGGGATGTGGCTTCCAGGGCTCCTGCGTGCTTCAGCCCTGGCTTGGCTGTGGGGATTCAGACACTGCTCACACAGGGCCATCACCTCTGTGAGGACAGATGGCAGGCTGGGAAACTGTGGGCAAAGCCCTATGAGCCTGTGCCTGGGGCAGAGCCTCAGAGGGGCTACATGGGGGAGGAGCAAGGCCCTGTCCTGGAGAGTGGCCTGACTGCTCTATCCTGTTCCTCAGGTGTCTGCAGGATGGCGTGGGAGATGTGAGCTTCGTGAGACATATGACTGTGTCAGGTAAGTGCTGGGTTGAGGAGGGATCACGGGCGCCACACCCTGGCCAGGGGAACTGGCTTTTGCCTGAAAGTTTCCCTACATCTAGAGATGGGTTATGACAGATCTTAATGAAATAGGAGTGTTTCTGTATAAAAAACATTTTTTTGTTATTTGTACATTGTTTTAGTGCTTAATTTGTTGTCTAGAAATCTACTAAACAAATTTTCTGAATATTTAAACATTACTTAACAACTAGTAAAACAGAGTTTTAATAATAAAGTTCTCTTAGTCACTGAAATATCCATGTCAAATTTAATCACATTCTTTTGAATGCTTCATTAGAAGCATTAGGGCTCCCAAATGCTTCAAAACCCTTCAGCAAACACACAAATTAGCATAATGATTTCAGAACTTATTAGCACACCTACAATGAAATCTGTTGCAAAAGCATTATTACCATGGACAAAAGTATTTCTTCTTTATTTCTATATTTAAAAAAAAAAGCCTTTCAGAATTTTGGCTAATTTATCAGAAACAAACAAAAGAGTTTTTCAGACAAGTTGAGGTTACAGACTTTGGGTTTTATAACCAATTAAATTTCTATCAGATACAGAATACACTTATACCACTCAAGACGTTTAAAACCAAGTGCATATTCACGATGCTAGGTTCATTTTAAAATTAACAGCCACTACCTCAAGGAAAATTTTAAATGCTTGCTTTCTACATGTGCCTTCGTTCCTCATGATCTAGTTCTGTGTCTAACTCGAAACAGGAGTTTCGTGTGTTTTGTTCTTTGTTCAACAATTCACAATTCACTGTCTCCTCATTACCACACATTGGCCTGGTTTGTTAGCATTTTGGTAATTGGCGCATGTCTTATTATTAGTAATTTTAATTAGTAGGGTCATCTCTGGGTTTCATCTCCCAGGGTCAAGTTGTTCCAAATAATTGTCACTGTAATCTGCTCTGGTTGCTCAAGTTACTACAGTTATGTCAGAGGGCAGCATCTTCTAACACTCACCCAGAAGTATTTGGAAACATCCTCACTTTCTGAAAACAACGGTTGTCCCAGACCTCCTGATTTGTCTTTGCTGAAAGCCACTTGTCTGCTATTATATGAGACCCCTTATTAAAAGTAGAAGTTTATGAGAGATTATTCACTGGGCTTTAGAGGTGAACTTGAGTGTTGGTGATGAGTGACTGAGGTGGAAAAATTATTTCTTTCTGAAACTATTAGATCATATTGAATCTGTTAATTCTAACATTATGAAATCATTAAAAAAAATTTTTAATATATAGATTTAAAATGTATTTTCTGTATGATATACCTAATTAAAATCATAACAGTCACAAGAACTGTAATTGTACTCTCTCTTTATCCTAACCCAAGGATATGTTTTCATTGATTTTGGGGAAAGAGAGAGAGAGAGAGAGAAACATTGATGTGAGAGAGAAACATCAATCAGTTGCCTCCCGTATGTGCCCTGACTGGGGGTTGAACGCGCATCCTAGATATGTGCCCTGACTGGGAATCGAACCCACAACCTTTTGTTGTACGGGATGATGCTCGAACCAACTGAGCCACCTGGCCAGAGCTGTACGCCTTCTCTTTCGATACGATATTTTATCAACCCCAAAGACCTTCTATATGAGTTTTCTAGGACTGCCATAACAAAGTAACTTAAGCAACAGAAACTTATTGTCTTGTAGCTCTAGAGGCAAAATTCCAAGATGAAGATGTTGGCAGGGTTGGTTTCTTCTGAAGGTTGTGAGGGAGGATCTGTCCCGTGCCTTTTGCCCAGCTTCCGGTAGTTTGCTGGCAGTCTTTGGCACTCCTTGGCTTATAGTCACATCACCCCAATCTCTGTCTTTCCTTTCGCATGGCATTCCCCCTGTGCACATGTTTGTCTGTGACCAAATGTCCTCTTTTTGTAAGGACACCAGTCATAATGGAATAGGGCCTACCCTACTCCAGTATGACCTCTTCTTAATTACATCTGCAATGACTCTATTTCTAAATAAGGTCACATTCTGAGGTCCGGGGATCAGAACTTCAACATGTGAATCTTGGGGAGGGAGGGACACAATTCAACCCAGAACACCTTCTAATAGCTAGATGAGGGGAACCAAAGAGCTTGTTTTCCTTATAAGGTTTTCTGGTCCTTCTCTGTACCTCCGGAATGCCCTGACTGGCCTCCTAGGCCTCCACCCATCCCTCACCTCTTCCATCACCTTTCCCTGGTGGGCTCTGGCCTCAGGGGAGTGTTGCAGAGTGGGGGACCTGGATCGTGTTAGTATGACCACCTGTCATCCATAGGTTATCAAGTTTGATGAGTTACCTCAACTCTCTGAAGCTATTTCCTCTTCTCTAGAATGAGATAGTTACATTGCTGGCCTCCTCCAGCTGTTACAAGGATTAAGTGACAAAGAGCATGGAGAAACTTCAGCACAGTGTTTGGTGTGCTGTGAGTGCCCTGTAAACATCAGCTGTCACCTTTCATATTAGCAGAGCCATAGGGACCAGGGGCGGTGGGAGGGCTCCGGGGCAAGCAAGCCTCCCAGCCCTGTCTGCACTGAGAACCAGTCACCTTGTATCCCGAGGCCTCAGGTTCCTCATCTGTAGAAAATGTATTTGGAAAAGATTCTCTTTTGGTCCTATTAGAGTTGTTAAAAGAATGACTGAAGAAGACAATTTCGGTGATGTAAACAAACTTCATTAACACTCCATGAAGCGGGCAATCTCTTTTTGGAGAACTGCAAAATGGGGAGGAAGGCAGGAAGCTTTACAAGACAAAGAATAAAGAACAGGGAAGAGACCCATAGGAAATATCTGATCGGCTGGGGCCACACTGAACACCTCATTTGGGGTGAGAGGAACAAAGAAAGAAGTGCAGAGCCCAGAGTTGGGTTGGCATTTGGGAACTGGCTGGATACCGCGTTTCTGGTCAAGCAGAGCATTACAGGGACATGAAAGTTATCCAAGTTTTGGTTTGTTGATCTGGCATCCTGAGTAGGAGCGGCTCTATCTTGGGCCTAGAAGGTTATTACAACAAGGTCAAGCACTTTGTGTTTCAATGAGGAGGGCGGACCACAGCTGATGTCTCTGCCTACAGTCTGTTGGCTCCTCTGGACTTTTCTCCCTCAGAGAACCTTGCACACCAGGCCGACAGGGACCAGTATGAACTGCTCTGCAGGGACAATACCCGGAAGCCAGTGGACAAATATGAGGAGTGCCACCTGGCCAGTGTCCCTTCCCATGCCGTTGTGGCCCGAAGTGTGGGTGGCAAGGAGGACTTGATCTGGGAGCTTCTCAACCAGGCCCAGGTACTAAATCTGCTGTCTTCCCTCCTGCTTGGGAGTCTCTTGCTTGGGTTTTGGGCACTTTCCTTCACTCTCTTATTGCCACTCTGGAAGTCCTTCTGGGTTCAAGACACAGCAGGAACCATACCACACATCACCCTCTTCACCCACAAGCCACACAGTCTGTATGCTTTTTAAAAAATATATATATATCTTTATTGATTTCAGAGAGAGAAGGAAGAGGAGGAGAGAGAGAGAGATAGAAACATCAGTGATGCGAGAGTTGTCATTGATCGGCTGCCTCCTGCACACTCCCAACTGGGGATCAAGCCTGCAACCCGGGCATGTGCCCTGACCGGGAATCGAACCTCAGTCTCTGGGATCCTAGGTCAATGCTCAACCACTGAGCCACGCCAGGCCGGGCAAGTGTGTATGTTATACACGGCAGAGGCCATAAACCCTTGCCTGGCACTGACCCGGTGGGCCAAAGACTCTGCAGAAGTTCCTGGTTGCCCCAGTATGTTCTTTTCAGCTCTAAACAGGTCCTCAGGATGCAGTACAGATGTCCCCCCTCCATGAACTGTTCCCCTGTTATCCTATTGGCACGTGATCCCGCCCTGGCTTCCCTCAGTGGCAGGTACCCCTCCATGTGCATTCATTCTCGGTGCTGCATTGGTGGCAGTCTCTCCCAGCCACCCCCCATTCATCACCTGGTCCCATCCCTGTCGGTGCTCTCTGCTCAGCACTGAGGTTCAGAGATGAACTAGACAAAGATCTTCCCTTGAGTTGCTCACAGAGAAATGCGGACACATACAAATTATCACCAGGTGGGATGTCACAACACTGGGGACATGGATTATGTACATTGTACTTGCGGAGGACAGAAGGACCAAGATTTGCAGGGTGCATCTGGGAAGGTTCCTGGGCCCCAGGGAATAAGCTGTGTGCACCGCAAGGAAGTGTGGAGGTTTGCCAGAGAAGGCAGCAGGTGACATTTATGCAGAGCCACTGCAAAAGCAAAAAGCAGACAGACATTGGAAAGAGCGTGTGAATAGGTGCTGCGTCAGCTCGTTGGCAACAACTTTGGGCAACTCAGTGGGAGGTAGAGGCAAAGGGCCCTTCGTTTTGGTGGAGATCAGAAGGGGGAAGGGACTGCTTGAGATCCTTCAGTGGCAGGACTGGGCTGGGGGAGGAGCCCGGTACTCCTCACCTCCAGCCTAGATGGCCGGGTGCTGGGTCACCAGCGACTCCAGGATGAAGACCACCAGAGCCACCTGGGGCCCTCAGACTGCAGCACCGAGGCAGCCTTCACCGACTGCCCTGCGGGAACACAGCATTGGGTAGCGGCAGCTGCTTGGCACATGATGACCCCAAACTCCGTACAAATCTGGGGAGGAGCCCCTGGCAGTTTCCCTGAGTCCGCACAAGGCTAACAAGCTGGGATTTGGGTAAAGCATTCCCTGGAGAGAGACCTGAGAAGCCCGTGAGCGCAGGGCCTCAGGCACTCATTCTTTTCCCCTTTCTGTTCTGATCTGGTTTGAGGTTTGTCTTCCCCTTAGCCTCTCTATGCCAGCCTCCCTCCTTCACTTTTTCTCTTATCCTTTGAACAGGAACATTTTGGAAAAGACAAGTCAGCAGAATTCCAGCTCTTTGGCTCTCGTCTTGGGAAGGACCTGCTGTTTACAGATGCCGCCCAAGGGTTTTTAAGAGTCCCACCTAAGATGGATACCAAGCTGTACCTGGGATATAAGAATATAGCTGCCGTTCTGCGTCTCACGGGAGGTGTGTAAGGTCCTCGTCAGGCAGTGGGCAGGGTGGGGGTCAGAGGGGCTTTCCTGGTACCTGCAAGCCTCATCTCACCCAACCTTCACTGGCCTGCAGAGCCCAGGGGAGCTACCAGCTGCACTGGGTTTTAATGAGGGGATTTTCTGTTGAGCTGGGGAGAAGACCTAACTTACCTTCAGATTATAGACAACTTGAAGAAATGATGGCTCTGGCTTCTTTGTATTAGCCAGAGTTGCCCCACCCAACAGCAGAACAGGGCAGTAGCCCATCTTAAACTGAAGTGGGAACATGGCCTCTGCCACCATCAGGAAAACTAGAATTTCAGGGGGTTTTAATTCAGCTCTTGCCTCCCTCTGAATCCCTGTTGTTTCTTGCTTCCTTCCTTCTCTCTTTTATCTCCCTCCTTTTAGTCAACCAGTAGTTACTGAGCATCTACAAAGCCTCTGTGTTAGATGTGGGCATACCTTGGTGAGCAAAGACATTGGGTGAGGGGAGGGCAAGCAGGCCCACCCAGAACAGAACACAGGACTACCAACTGGGGAATGCTCCCTGGATGGGAGAACCCAGTCCTGTAGTCCTGTAAGAGAAAACCCCAGAAGGCCCTGAGCTGGGCTGGTGCTCAGAGTGGCCTTCCCTGGGGAGGTGATGCCTGAGAAGGTGAGGTCAGCAGGGAGGTTAGGGTTGCTCTGCCTTCACTGCCCTTTCTGAGAACTGAATACCCATTTTTCCTGGAGGGTTTTGGGCAGGAATGAGTGGTGATGTGGGCATGAGACTCTGCTGCTGTTGAGGGGGACCCCATTGGGCAGCTACTCTAAACCCCCAAACCCATCTTGGCGCTTCCTTTGGATCCCTGGCTCTTCTCCACCCGTCCTAGGTGTGGAAGGCCCCCAGAGGGTGCAGTGGTGTGCAGTGGGCCACCATGAGATGGCCAAGTGTGAGGAGTGGAGTATTGTGAGTGGTGGCGTCTTAAAGTGTACCTCAGAGGAGACCATCGAGGACTGCATTGCTGCCATTGTGGTAAGGAAGGCCTTGCCTCCACAGCTGAGCTCAGACACCCACACACATGGTACTTCTGCTGAGACCTCCCAGACACCTCCCCATCAGTCACGAGGCTGAGATGCAACTGTTATGTGCTTCCCCCAACTCTCCAAAGACCCATCCCACTCCATCCTACAGACCCCTCCGGCTCAGGACTGGGGAGAAACAAAGAGCCAGGCCAAGTCCCAAACTCATTTGGTGCTCAGCTCTGCTGACCAGTGAGCTCTGAGCGGCGTCCTGCCTAGGACCTGTGGAAAGTGGGGTTATATCCTGGGGTGTGGTCAGGGCCCTTGTGGATTGTGAAAGCAAATCAATCTTTTCAGTCCTTTAGTTGAAAATATAACTTTTTTCTGGTGATAAAAATATTACATGCTGGAAGAGAAATGAAAAATAAATAATATTATTCACAACTTCATAATTCAGAGATCATTACCACATACTTTTTGAGTTATGAAGCTGTATAATTAACTTTCTATTTCTCTTTAACAGATAATACTTTTGTGATTAGAAAAAATATATATAAATAAAGGACTGAGACATTGACCAACTCTGGAGACACACAGTCTTTCTTAGGAAAGAAGGTCCTAATTTTGGTAAAACCTCCCTGGAACCAACCCATAAGATTAAGATCTTGCAGCTTATACAGTCTCTTAACTTCATCAATTATAAGGGTTAAATGAATTTGAGTGCTCATAACATTGCTTGGCATATAGTAGCAGTCAATAAATGTTAGCTATTGCTATTATTATGTTTTAATGGCTGCATAATATTCCACCAAGTATCTCGGCCTCAGTGTACTTAACCAATTTCCAAATGTCTATATCTGAATGATCTCCCAATCCTTTGGAGATAGATAATATGGGAGTGAATATTTCTGTTCTTTAGTTGTCAGTATTTCTGAGTGTGCCTTTAATATTAACAACAGCTAGTATTTCTGCTTATGACCTCTTTACTTGCATTAACTCATTTAATCCTCATGATAAGCCTATGAGGTAGATGTTTCACCTATTTTATGGATGAAAAAAAAGTGCGTAGAATAGTGTTTAGGGATGTGTCCTTTGGAGTAGTCAGATCCCCGAGGCTGTGTGATATAGCGGTTATGAGCAGAAGCTAAGGAATTAAACTACCTAAGTTTAAGTCTTAGTGACCATCTATTGGACATATTACTTAATCTCTCTCTGCTTCAGTTTACTAATGTATAAAAGAGGGGAAATTATACAACCTACCTAATTGGATTTTGTGAGGAATACATGCAGTAACCACTGTAAAGTGTTTAGAAAAGGTCCTGGGACATAGTAGGGATTTGGCAAGTTTTTCCTTCTAGAGTTACTACTGTTTTAAATAGATTTTTAAAAATATAGATTTCTAGAAAAGCAGTTAAAAAGTCAAAAGCAAAGAGTGTGTATGTGTCTCTGTGTTTCTTTCCTGATGACCTTATCTTTGACTGTAAGTATACACTTTTTGCTCTGTTGGAAAAATTCATTGATTTAAATCATAACTTAATTATTACAGGAAGACCACATTTTATTGTGCTTTCCTTTGTTGCACTTTGTAGATATTGGTTTTTTATTTTATTTTATTTTTGGAAGGCAAGATCCTCCACCAGCAAAAAGATTAAGACTTGCTGAATGCTCAGATGACAGTTAGCATTCTTTAGCAATAAAGTATTTTTTATATTAAGGTATATGCATTGCTTTTTAGAAATAATGCTGCTTCACACTTAATAGACTATAGTATAGTGTAAACATAACTTTTATATGCAGAGGGAGACCAAAACATTCATGTAACTCTCTTTATTGCTACATTTGATTTTTTGTGGTGGTCTGGAACCAAACCACAGTATCTCTGAGGTATGCCTATAATGAATTATTTAAGTAGAGAAATTAATATTTATTGAAAATTTTTGCTGTGCCAGGGCTCTGAGTATAATGCCAATAGGGTATAGGACCAGAACTGAACTCTGCCAGAAGAAAACGTGTTCCATAGAAAGAGATAAATGCAGTCATTAGTCCGGTCATGTAGATCATTGAGTGACAGTGATACAGTGAAAGTCTAGTGAGGCTATGTCCAGCAGTACCCTGGTTGAGCTCTTTCTCTTGGGTCACCAGGCCAAAGGCATGTCCAGTTTTCTAAACCCGTGTTTATGTGGCAGAAGCTTTGGGTGATCTACGATTTGGTTAATCACAAAGACATGTGACATGAAGCCAATGAGATGGAAACCGCTGAGGGTCAGTGAGACAGGGTAACAACCTCACCATTGTGCCCCTAATTTATTTCCTAACTTCAGAAAGGAGAAGCTGATGCCATGAGCTTAGATGGAGGCTTCATCTACACGGCGGGCAAGTGTGGTCTGGTGCCTGTCCTGGCAGAGAACTACAGTAAGTGGAAGGAAGTGTCTCTCACTGTTTTGTTCCCTCTGGGCCGTGGACTTGGAGACGAAATAATTTAGTTCATTGTTGAGATAATAATAACTATTGCTGGAGTGTAGGGGGCTAGTAGATAACATGCTTCTTCCTGAATGTCAGAGCCAATTAAGATATAGATATAGGATTTAGGCAAAAAGATATAAAAATATCACCTTTATTATTGAAATAGAGATATGGGAGGGCATGGTGTAGAGGTGGCCACAGTGCTTGCCAAATTGCTCTTGAGTTGGAGTTGCCCACTAATTCAGGAGAATAGCTCTCCCTGGGCTTACCCCATGGCTGAGGGCAGAGGAAAACATTTTGTCATAGGAGAGAGGCTCTAAACCACCCTCTCCCAATTATCCTCAAGAAAGAAATAAGGGGCTGAGCCACATGTGCCTAGACCCTATTGCCAAATTTACTAGCCAAAATTAACTCGCGCCAGCTTCAATGGAAGACTGAGGGGTGGGGCCACAAGGTCATGTTCTTTAGTGGGGATCTGTCCACATGAAAAAATAAAGTCAGAGAAGAGGATTTCATCAGTACCATTCGTTAAACACCTCCTCTGCTAGGCAGTGAGCAAGAAACATACATTATCCTTCGAAACAAAACAGCTGTGTAACACAAATAGTGGTATGTCCATTTTACAGATGTGAAAACTAAGACTTAGAGAAGTTCAATGCTGTGCTCAGGGTAGGATGAAGACTACATCTAGGTCTCTCTGCCTCTATGGACTGGTTCATTGCCCTCCGACATAGCAAGAATATAATGATTGCCTATCACAGCCCAGAGTTCTGAAGGGAAGAAAGATGTCAGGACGACTCAAATCACACAGCAAATGCAAAAGAATCTTTGTCCAGATCTCCACTGGTCTCTGCCTCCCTTTCAAAGGGCATCTCATTTTCTTTCTCTGCATCTACCTAAGTATTGGAGAGAGTCTGGGATGAAACCTAAAGTTCAGATGGCAAAGATCAGGGAAAGAGGAGGTAGATCGGGACTGCAGAGCCTAGGCTTGTTAATGACCATGAGACTGCTTAGCTGGTGTTTCTCCTCACTTAATTCTTAACTCTTATGATTGAGAAGCTCATGACTTTGGATGAGTTTGTGAGAGTTTACTGCCATGTACCCCAATTCTTTTTCTTTTTCTTTTTAGTGCCTAAAGATGGCAATGAGCAGCTTGGGTCTAAGTGTGTGAATACGCTCACGGAAGGTGAGTCAGAATCAGTAACCCTGGGGCTCAAAGGTAAAGGCCTGTGCTTTGGAGAAGGGTGACGAAAGCCTTAAGACTAAACAAAGGTTACTAGAGTTGTAAAACAATAAAGGAGAAGGAGAAGAAGACACCACAGTTAATTGTTAGGGAGCAAGTCTACCATGAAGCTGTAACAATGGCTGTTTGTGGGGTACTTCACCGATGGCAGGACTCCTGCTTGCACTGTTCCTGTTTCCTTTTCTCAGCAAGCCTCTAGTATGTGGGCATCATTGTTTCATATTATATAGATGGGGAAAGTGAGGCTCAGGGACTGTCCCTTGACCAGCGCCACACAGCCAGGAAGTGGCTGCACCTAGGCTGGAGAAGTGGTGGAAGGAAACCCTGTGTCCTTCCTGACCAAGCACACTGCTCCTTGTCATATGACCATCTCCGCATGAAGGTCAGCACTGGGGCAGGAGCCCATTCCTGACATTTCTGGGGCCTTGCTGCTAATGAAGATGAGGAGGAAATGAGACCAACCCTTTAGCTTTTAGCCAGCTGGATTTGAATAGCAGGGGAGTCAACCTCGTCTTTAGAATAGACCAGGTGACATGTTCTCCCATCTATGACTCCCCTAGGCAGAGAGGGTCTGTATCTGTCTGAGAAGTACCTAATCTTGGGCATTAGGTAGAGCACTGGCTCTCCTTCTAGTGTAGTACCTGGACCAGATGCGTCAGCCTCACCTGAAAACGTATTAGAAATGAAAATTATTTGGCCCCACCCCAGATCTACTGAGTGAACTCCCAGAATGGGGCCACTGCTCTGTGTTTTAAGAAGCCATCAGCTGATTCTCATGTACATTAAGGTTTGAAAACAACTGTGATGAAGGTTCCTGAGATGAAAACAGGTGGTCATTTGGGTTTGGAGTTTTTCATTTTCTTTTTTGAATTTAAATTTTTTTAAATCAAAATATGGTTGGCATATAATAAATTAGTTTCAGGTATACAACATAGTGATTTGACATTTACATATCTTACAGTGTGCTCACCACACTAACCATAGTAAATCTGTCATCATACAAAATTATTGCACTATTATTGACTACATGGCCCTTTACCTTTTTCACCCATCCCTTCACCCCACTTCACTCTGGCAACCATCAGTTTGTTCTGTATTTCTATGATTCTTTTTTTGTTTGTTCTGATTTTTTTAATTCTACATATAAGTGAATTATATCTTTCTGTGCCTGACTTGTTTCAGTTAGCATAATACACTCTAGGGCCATATATATATGTCAGCCACATCTTCTTTATCCATCCATTCATCTATCGATGGATGCCCAGGTTGCTTCCATGTCTTGGTTATTGTAAATAATACTGCAATAAACATAGGGGTACATGTATCTTTTTGAATGAGTGTTTTTGTTTTCTTCCTATAAATACCCAGAAGTGGAATTGCTGAGTCGTATGGTAATTCTACTTCTAATTTTTTGAGGAATCTCCACACTGTTTTCTATAGTGGCTGCACAAATTGCAGTGCCACCAGTAGTGCATGGGGTTCCCTTTTCTCCACAACCTCACCAACACTTGTTATTTGTTGATTTTCTGATAATAGTCATTCTGACAGGTGTGCGGTGATAATCGTTGTGGTTTTGATCTGCGTTTTCCTGATGATCAGTGATGTTGAGCATCTTTTCATATGTAGCCCAGCCATCTGTATGTCTTCTGTGCAGAAATGTCTCTTCATATCCTTTGCCCATTTTCAAAATGAATTTTTTTTGTTATTGGGTTGTAGGAGTTTCTTATATATTTTGGATATCAACCCCTTATCAGGTTTATCATTGGTGAATATATTCTCCCATTCTACCCAGTAGGTCGTATTTTTGTTTCCTTCACAGTGCAAGAGATTTTTAGTTTGATGAAGTCTCCTTTGTTTATTTTTGCTTTTGTTTCCCTTGCTCGAGAGGACATATCCAAAAAGATATTACTAAGGCTGATGTCAAATAGTTTAATACCTATTTTTTTTCTAAGAGTTTTATGGTTTTAGGTCTTATATTTAAGTCTTTAATTCATTTGAGTTTACTTTTGTATATGGTGTAAAAGGGTGGTTTCTTTTTTTTGCATACATCTGTCCAGTTTTCCCAAAACCACTTGTCTAAGAGACGGTCATTTCTTCATTGTCTATTCTTGCTTTCTTTGTCATAATTAATTGACTAGACAAGCGAGTTTCTTTTTGGGCTCTCTATTCTGTTGTGTTGATTTATGTGTCTGTTTTTTGTGCCAGTACCATATTGTTTTATTATTTTTTTAAATGTATCCTTCTTGATTGTGAACCTTGAAAATCGGAGACTTAACCTTAAAAAAGAAGTCATTAAAGCTCTTTCTTTTGGATTCTATTCAACAGAAATATTTAAACAGGAACACACTCATAGGTACAAAGATTTATATAAACGAGTGGTTTAATAGGGAAAGATGGGTCACAATGCACATGCCCACCAGCAGGGGGATTATAAAATACAGTACTTCCACACAGTGGAACGTAACTTAGAGACAACCAACAAAGAGAATGAGAGAGCTGTAGCGATTTCTACTGAATCAAAAAGGTGTCCATGATGTATCACTGAGAAAGAATCAAATAACTAGAAGAAAAGAATGTATAGCAGGATTCAGTTGAACGAGTGTGAAGGTGGTGTGTAAATACTTGTGAATGTATGTATGTAGACACATCTGGAGCAGGAGTGTCATTCTGTTTGGCCCAGTACCTAACGACAGTTACTCGCAGGGGCTTCTGCTAGAGTGAGGTGAGGGACTCAAACTCTTCCCCCTCCCTGGAGAGAGTGGCAGGCAGGGGCTAGCTGCAGCAGCTCTAGAATACATTGTCGGAGGGCCCCGGAGCTACTGAAAGTGCATCTCGGTATCTCTGTTGCAAGGTTACTACGCCGTGGCAGTGGTTAAGAAATCAGACGCTGACCTCACCTGGAACTCTCTGCGAGGCAGGAAGTCCTGCCACACCGCAGTTGGCACTTCTGCTGGATGGAACATCCCCATGGGCTTAATATACAACCAAACTGGGTCCTGTAGATTTGGTAAGTGTGTTCTAGGAGGTGCTGTGGCAGCCCCTTCCTTGGGCCTGTGCTTGTGTAGGGAAGAAATTCAGTTCAGTGGATGGCAAGGAGTGACATAAAAGGGCTGAACAGACATTGTGGGCGATCTTCACATGTCCCTGAGCGAGTCCTCCCCTTTCACCTCACCTCCTTGCTTCCAGGGGAGTGGCTCGGCCCAAAGGGCAGATTTTGGGGAACTATTCTATTCTTTATGTCTTGCAGCCAGCTCAGGGAACAAGTCTGGGGCTGCAAAGCAAGAGTGGGGGTGTGCGCGCAAATGTGTGCATTGTTTTCCCAAACAAACTGGCTGCTTTTTAAAATGGAAAACCTTACACCAGGAAGTCCTTAAGTGCTTTATCTTTCACTTTCATCTTCACCTCTCTCAGGTTCCCTTATTACCCATTTTAGCAACATTCTTGCCAATACCTAAAAGACTCCTGCTCCCCTGCTTTCCCCAGCCATCTGACAAATCCCAGCCCTGTATGAACCCCGCCACCTGTTCTCTTCTCCCTCTGCACCTGAGCAGCTGAGCATGGCTGGAGAATGTCACAGGGCGGAACAATTCGTTCCCTGGAAATGCCCCAGCTGCTGGCCTCTGTGGGCCCCCAGCACGCAGGGGCACTCCCACTGCTTCTCTGTTCCACACCCGGCACTTCCCAATAATTATCCTAATGTTCTAATTGGCCACACATCTCCATCCCACACCTATCTACCACCTTTCTCAGCAGATGATCTCATCTGCACCTGCAATAGGCGACTGAAACCACCAGAAAGGTTCCCCCCTTGACATCCCACCGCCAAAGGTGTGCCTCTTGATGGCTGTGTGTGCTCAGCCTCCCTCCACACCCAGCCAGTCCCTTCCCCTGCACTCAGGTGTGGGCCCTTCCCTTGCTCCCCTCGCCAGGGGCTCATACCCGCAGTCGCTTCTTGTCTGGTATATCCAACAATTTCTTTCAACATGTAAACACACCCAGTGTCTCCATCTTTAAAAACCCTCCCTCTCCCAACAGCCTCTTCCAGCTCCTGCCTTCCCTCTCTTCCCCTTTACTCCCAGGCTTATTAAGAGCCTGGTCTGAACCACTCACCTCCCACCCATTCCCTGCCCTTTGGCTTTCTGCATCATTCTACAGAAAGAACTCTGGTCAAGGCTACCGTGACCTACTTGTTGCTTAATTGAAAGGGCATGCTCCAGTGTTTTTCTATATGACCTCTCTTTCTTCAAATCACCTTAAAACATTATCTCCTGGCTTTTATGAAAACATACTGCCTTGGTTTTTCTCCTATCCCTTCAAAGCCCCCTTTCCCAACCTGGTTAATAAATGCTTGAGTTGCTGAAAGCAATGTTTTTACCCTCTCTTAACCCATGCCTACAGCCTTCATTACTATCTAAACAAATATTGTATGTAGAAAGCTAGGCATATAGCAAGCACTAGATAAATGTTTGCTGCTGTCACCATTGTTAACATTATGTCTATATGTTTATGAAATCAAGTTTTTATCCCTAGCACAGATCTCTCCTTGACCTCCAGACCTGTATATATGAACTGCCCATTTGACATTCTCTACTTAGATATCTTAAAAGAACACTAACCTCAACCTGTCCAAAACAGATTACACCACCTCTGCTGAGCCTGGTCCTGCTCCTGAGCTGTCCAGCTCGGTGGAGGACCCCACAGTCCAACCACCTGCCCCAGCTGGAAACCTGGGAGCTGTCATCCTCCACACCCCCATCTATCACCAGTGATGCCAGTTTCTCTCCCCTCCACCTCTCTCCCTCCCTCCCCTCTGTGCTACTCTAGTCCAAGCTGTCCCCACCACCCCTTGACTACTGCAGTAGCCTGCTGCATGCACCCCACATCTGCCCTGGATTCTATCCACTTTGCTGCCAAACCGTTCTTTGCGAAGAGCAGATCTGACTCTGTCCTGCCCAGCACTGTCTAAAGCCCTTCAGAAGCTCCCTATTTCTCTAACAAAAAAGAACAAAATCTATACCAAAGTGTCAGAGTTCACATGTGGTCTGGATCCCTGCCGCCTCCCCGCTCACTCTTGCTATGGGTGGCCTTTTGCCCCTCACCCCACCCCCACCCTGGGTCTTTGCAGATGCTGCTTCCTTGCCTTTCACTGGGTAATTCCTGTTCATTCTTCATCTCTCGACTGAGGCCTCTCCCTGACTCTCAGGTCTGCACCGGGTTCCTTTAGCTGCAGCCTGTGGTATTGTATTTTTTCCCCCAAAGCAAGGGGCAAAAATCACTGTGTGATGACTCTAGTTGTGACAGATACCCCACAGACTTGGGTTCCAGGAAGGTGGGTCCTCGCTGAGGTGCCCTGGAGCCCAGCACAGGGCTTGGTGGCTGGGCCTCTCAGGACCCTTCTTGAACTTGGAGTCATGATGGCAGGCCTTGTAAAGAAGGGGAGGAGAGCAGACGTCAGAAAACACGTGGGACAGGTTCAACCAGCCAGGACTTCCAATTTTGTCCACTCTTAGGATTAAATCTGTGCCCGTTCTTCCTGTGCCTGGACAGGGTGGGCTTTTGTGAGCTCACAGACTCTTGTCCCAACTTCAGCTAGTTCCCCTTTACTTTGCTCCAGCTGCAACTTTAAAAAAGTTTTCAAATAATATGGTACCAAATACCTGAGTGTCCCAATTCTAGGGACAAAAATCTGGGGCTTTCTTGCTAACACAGGCAGGAAGAGCTGATCTCGTTTCCTCCTGCGCAGATGAATTCTTCAGTCAAAGCTGTGCCCCTGGTTCTGATCCAGATTCCAGTCTCTGTGCTCTGTGCGGCGGCGACGGCAATCCAGCCCACGCGTGTGCTGCTGACAGCCACGAGAAATACTACGGCTCCAGTGGGGCGCTCAGGCGAGTAGCGTCTGTGCGCGGCCTTTCTCTTTGGCAACCCCATGACCTTCTTGCCCTTTTGCCTTTTTCATCATCTCAGCATCTGGGTGCTGCATTAAGGGAGAGCCAGAATTCGGGACTAGAACTGCAAATTCCCAGTGGCCCCAAGGACTCAAGTTCAGCCCCTTCTTGAGAACCACAGGTCTAGAATAGAGAAAGGAGAACAGGAACGCCCAAGTGAAGTTCATCATTGGAAAGCTGTCTGGTTACCTCACTGCTGAGGTGCAGACACACGTGAGGCAGATGAGCATGCTCATCCAGGACTGGGACTATATGAAGGGGGCTAAAGGAAAGGAACAGGGAAAGGGAGCTTAGGAAAACCGAGTGGGAGTAACTAATCCTAGCCAAGTATAGACAGACCTGAGGTTAGGGGAGAGAGGACTGGAGAGGTGCTCCTGATAATTAATAATATCAATTTACAACTGACAATGTCATAAAACCGATGTTAATGTGAAAATTTCTCATGAGGAATGCACCTTAGCCACTGACAAGCATTTTCCAGGGGATTAAGTGTAAACAAGTATCTAATGATGCACATTAACTTTGTTAAGGCTGATTAGGCGTATGGGTGTGATGAGACTCCTTCAGAATTATATCTTGCATGCTGGCTTTAACCTCTGATGTGAGTTTTGATCCAACCAGACAGTCATCCTTGAAAATCCCTGTTCACAGGAGAGTACAAGCATCTCCTGTGGAGAAACTGATCAGCATTTAATATAAGGAACAATAGAAACTAAATAAGCTGATTTCTTTTATTATTATTATTATTATTATTATTATTATTATTATATTTCTCCTCGAATTCCCAGGGACAGCCAGGCATTACAATTTTGTGTGTGGAAGTGGTGGGCAGTAGTTGTACCAAGTGGCCTGCGTGGAGGTGGAGGGGGTGTGAGCCTCTCAGTGATTCCCTCTTGGTGTCTCTCCCTCCCACCCCTGTTGATCTTCCTCGCTGACCTGACCCTGGGTGTGCAGGTGTCTGGTTGAGAAGGGAGACGTGGCCTTTGTGGAGCACCCCACAGTCCTGCAGAACACAGACGGTACGTGTCTGCTCTGTCCTTTCCTCCTCTGGAAAAATCTGAGTCTCTTATGGGAAATCACTCCCCAGTTGGGTAATCAAGAATGTTTATTAAGTCAATCAGACTCTAGTGACTTTGGCCATAACATTTTTTAAATTTAGGGGATGAGAAAATTCTTTATGTCCAATCAGACTTGACAGGGTTGGTTATCACACTGGCCTTGAACCCAGCTGACAAACATGCAGAGGATGCAGGCGATCTGAGCACATCTGGCTCTCTTGATTTATGGGCCTTCTTGGTATACAAGTTTTTGACAGATATATTTACTGAAAATACATTGTCCATCTCTGAAAACTCTTGCCTTTTTACTTTCTTACTGATGTCTTTTGACAGACATTCTTTATTTTAATAGAGTTTAATGTGTCAGTCTTTTGCTTTCTGGCTCATGCTTTTTCATGCCTGTTTAAGAAATCTTTGTCTTTAACGGGACTGAAAAGCACTAATCAGAAAGGTTATGAGTTTGTGAATTTATGGATGTTTCTCTTCTGCTTTATTTTAAAAGCTTTATTGTTTTGTGTCTCTGTGATTCTCCCAGACTCGGGTGGTTGGTCACATCTCCCCAGTGAGGGCACCTCGATGAAAGCTATCAGTTGTCCTGGCTTCTCTCTCCCCAGGGAAAAACCCTGAAGACTGGGCTAAGGATCTAAAGCAGAAAGACTTTGAGCTGCTGTGCCTTGATGGCAGCAGAAAGCCTGTGACTGAGGCTCAGAACTGTCACCTAGCCATAGTCCCAAATCATGCTGTGGTCTCAAGAGAAGATAAGGCAGATTTTGTTCGAAGAATGCTCTTCAACCAACAGGTATGGGCAACTGAATGCTCAGCTCACTTGCAGACCTGCACAGACACACCCCAGCCCAGGCTCACAGTCTTTCTCCCTGGGCAGTGGAACTTTAGTCTTGCAGCCCTTTCTCTGATGAAAGCAAAGGCTGCTGGCTGTGGTCACTTCTTGCTCTGGGGCCATCTAGGATATCAAAGCGGACTGGAATAGCCTCAGGCATGTGGGCATCTGAAGCGTCTCCCAGAAACTCCCTTGGCTCTCTGAGCAGAGTCATGGTTCCTCTTGGGCTTGTTCTGTCACAGAAATAAGGGAGTTAGCTCAGTGCCCTTCACACTAGGCTGAGCTATATGGGAAAAAGGCAGACTGGAGGTTACGCTATCTGACCTAGATTGATCCCAATGTGTTTCCTGAACCTGGCAAGTGGGATGCTATTTTAGGCTTCATGAAAGTGATAAAGCCAATATTCAGATAATTTATGACCTTTATAGGCAGCCAAAAAGGGCTGGTCCTATGTAGCAACGGGCTGTGTAAATCAAGTGATGTTAGGGAAAACCCAGAGCCTTGTTGAGTAATCCATGTCTTAGCATATGCTGCCCACACATCCCAGTTAAAGGACAACCTGGGGAGAGCTGGCAAAACCAGAGGCTCTTGGTCACAGACTTTTGAAGGGATGGGTCTCATACAGGGTGAGCTGCCGCCTTGGTTATAGGGGAAATGGACAAAGGAAGAGAGGGGAGGGGAAGGAAGAGGTGGAAATGGTTGGGTACCTGGGCAGATCCAGAGGATAGAAGAGGCAGGGTGGCAAGGGCTCCGCGCAGCAGGAAGACATGCAAGTATGACCCAGAAAGTTGAAAACACCTGGCAGTGACTGGAAGAACAGTGACACAGTGGCAAACTTGGAGCTCTTTCTATTTAGCACTTGCTTAACACGTGCCACCTCACTGTTTCTGTTATCTCCATTTACAAATGAGTTAACTGAAGTTCAATAAGATAATAAAGAAGTTCCCTGAAGTCACATGACAAGGAAAGACAAGCTCAGGATTTGAATGCAGAGGCCAGGCTCTTTGCCATTTTACTATGGTGCCTCCAAAGCTGTTGCTATGTTCCAGTCTCCTAGGGGCTGGAGCTGAGCAGTCCAGCAGACTCAGGGCTTTTGAGGCTGAATACACGATCCTGTGCTCCCTGGCGCTGCCAATCACTCACTGTCTGTCTGTTTGACCCAGGAGCTCTTTGGAAGAAATGGGTTTGAATATATGATGTTCCAGTTGTTCAAATCCTCAACCAAGGACCTGCTCTTCAGTGATGACACGGAATGTTTGGCTAAACTTCAGGACAAAACAACTTATCAAAAATACTTAGGGCCAGAGTATCTCACAGCTATTGCTAATGTGAGACAATGCTTACCCTCTGGTGAGTAGAATAAAACACTGGGGAGCAATAACGTGGGGTCAGATAAACATGTTTGTATTAAGGACCATCTCGTGCTAAGCCCTGGGCTGGTGCTAATCGGAGCACAAGGATTCAGGGAGCTTGCTCCTGGCCCTGCAGGAGGATTCAGACCCACCAGTGAGGTGACTCAATTAGACAATAGGATAAGACACTAGCTGGAAAAAGTCCAAATATTTGAAGGAGACAGAGCATGAAACAGAACTTGAGATCATTTGGAAACTGAACTTGTTTACATATGTACTTCATTTTTTTTTGCTAAAAAAAAAGAAAATGTATATATGTGAGCACTTCAAATGTAGGGAAAAGGTTGGAAAATGATGTAATACTACTGAGAGGACCAATTTTCAAACATTTTAAGTAAAATGTAAAAAATAATATTAATAGAAACAAATTAAGCGTAGTTAACACAATAGTAGGTCCTTTCTAGCTAGAATGGCAAAGCTGCCTCAAAAAGAAGTAAGTTGGAGAAATAAAATTAGAGCTTGGATAATCAAATTATTGGGAGTGTACTTGAATTTTTGTTGAATTATTTCATGTGTTGAGATAATGACAGCAGGAGGAAAAACAACGTGGGTAGTTAAGGATAGCACTGACATTACCTAGGGGGAGGGAGAGAGTTTGTTTTAAAAAAATCTTTATTACCTACTATTTACTTTTAGAAAATAGGAACAGAATTGTGTTGAGTAAGCACAGGCAGTGCCTGAAGGTCTTTCTCTTATGTTGTGCTTCACAGACCTCCTTGACGCCTGCACATTCCATGAAGTTAAAAAGTGATCAAAGTGGGCAACTGCAGAGACGCTCAGAGCCTGCAGATACGATGGGGCCACATTCTCACCTGTCTGCATGTGGGTCTGTGTTAACACCAGTTATCTTCATATTTATGTGGCATAACTGATGCAAAAATTGAAATGAATAAAAGCTATTGTCTTCTCAGAAAACTTCCTTAAACGCTCTCACATTGGGGTGGGGGAGGAACTATTTCTTTGTGCTAGAATTGTGCTTCTGAATTTAATCTCTAGTAAAGTGTACCTTTTTTAAAGCTCAACTTCCCTCCCTACTCTTCGATTATTCTACCCAAAGTGAAGTTGGGAAGAGATACACACGCTCAGCATTTGCAAGCCAACACAAGTTGACTACACTATTCCACTGACTTCCCTCTTTTATCTTTTGTGCTCTTATTACCATACATTTTACTTCTGCATGTTAGAAAAGCCACAATACATTTTTATTATTTTTACATCAAGCAAACAATTATCTTTTAAAGATATTTAAAAATGAAAAGGAAGAATCTTTACTCTTTACCCACATATTTACTGTTTCTGGCTCTCTCTATACCTTTGTGCAGGTTACATCTTTTAGATGTTTTGTGGGCATATTTTTCTGGCATGCTTTCATTGTCTGTACAGTAATTTCTCTCCTTTTTAAATTTTTTCTTGTAATAACTCTGTATGTCATTTGACCATGGGACTTCCTGTGGCTCAGTTTTAGGGGAAATTTACTTTCCTGCACTTTTAGAATAAGGCTGTTTTTAAGAAATGTTTTCTGACTTCACAGAGCACCCTCTCTATTGTTTTGTGCATTACTCAAAAACATAGTAGCCTGCTTTCTAGGGCTTCTCGATTTTATTCCCTTGTCCACTTTGGTCTGGACCTTTTTAAATTCACCCTTGTTTTCCCTTTACTTTGCAATTTTGTACCCTACCTCCACGTCCTTTCACTTCTAAGAATTTGGAAAGATGACTAGAGCAGGTAATTCATGTTTAGCATTTCAACTTATTTGGGGTACTAATGGACCCATTTTGAGGATTAATAAAAGCCTGGGGCTCTCACCCTCATAGCACACACACACTACTTGGTGTGCAATTTTTGTGTATTCATACCTCCAGTCCAGTGATTGTCTGCGGCCTTATGCCACCTGAAAGAGTGGGGATAGAGACTAGCTAACTTGTTTTTAGGCAGATGCTATCCTATGGAACTAAGTGTTGTTAAATTATACATATAGACAAGTGACATATTTATGTAAAAGGGCCACATGTGGGAACATTTTAAACAAGTGAAACAGTAAAATAATTCAAGTATAGAAACTAATAGTGGACACCAATTGTCTACAAATCTGTATAGGTCACAGGTTTACTTTGGAACAGGGAGAAACCAGGTGGAATTTGCTCTTCTCTTCCAGTGGCAAGCAAGGACATTAAACAATGTTGTTTGCTCTGGGGGCAATAGAGTGATCAGTGATCTGTTTATTTTGGCCTTCGCTAGACTATTTTCACCACTAGACTCTGCTCAGCTTAACCAGTTGCTACTCATGGGCACACCAGATGATCTCAGGATTTGGCTTCTCTTGGTGAAAAAGGAATGGGAAGTGAAATCCCCAAATAATCTTGGAAGAAAATAGGAATGACACCTTCCAAGAAAGTGTGTCACAGGATGGTAGGGACAGCTAAAAACACTGAGTCCAAAGTCCTATGCTCTAGTGTTGCCTGCCCTGCTGGGCACTTTCCCAGTTATATCTTCTGGCTGGGCCTCAGTTTTCTTCTCTGTGAAATGAGATCATCGTCCTAGGTGGTCTTTCAAGGTGTGTTTTGCTGAAGGGCCTGTTAGCAATGGAAGGGGCCATAAAGAAATTAGGTGGAGTCACTCCATTAATTCACTGAATGTGTCATCAGTGCTCGTTCCATGCCAGGTGTTCTGTTATAATGACAGTCATTTGCATCTACTGGTGACTGCTATATTTCGGGCAGGGCCAGCACTTTAACACCTCTTCAAAATGACCCTAGAAGGTTAGTATTTGTATTTCTTTTACTAATGAGAAAACAAGCTCAAATAGATGCTTAACCTGTCCAGCATCATGCAGCTTCTAAATGCCCTAGAATTCTAACCCAGGAGTCTCTGGCTCCAATCTCATACCTATTTTATACCTATTTAATAATGTGCTGGGTACAGAAATAGGTGATTTACTTTAATTGCTAATTTAATCCTTGTAATAATCCTAAGAGGTAGGTATCATTAGTGCCATTTACTAGATGGGAAACTGAGAGCTAAGGAACTTGCCTAATTCACTAAACAAATGAAAGTCTTACTGTAAAGAAATGAATGTATAGCCCTGGCCAGTTGGGCTCAGTTGGTTGAGTGTTGTCCCATGCACCAAAAGGTCACCAGTTTGATTCCCGGTCAGGGCACATGCCCGGGTTGTGAGTTTGGTCCCCAACTGGAGTATGTATGGGAGGCAACCAATCGATATTTCTCTTTCACATCGATGTTTCTCTCTCTCTCTCTCTCCCCCTCCTCCTGCCTCTCACTCTAAAAAAAATCAATAAAAACATATTTTTTTTAAAAGTAGTTCAAAAAGAAAGAAAGAAATGAATGCATAGAAGCAAATGACCACACCACACTAGCTTAGTGGTGACCCCAGGCAGGGAGAACCAGGGCCATGTTTTCCTCTTGTCCTAATCTTGGCAGTTGTGATTATGTCTCATGCTTACTTAATGCCACTTCTACTACCACTATGTTCCTACTTTGCACTGGGCAGATGATTTCCAGTTATAAATCTGGCAGAATTCCCCAGCCTTCCTTCCCCCTCCCTAGTATTCCACTTTGAGGCCTGGGAGAAGTCAATTTCCAGAAGGACCTCTGGAGTGGAAACTGAAGCAACTCCTGGGACAGATATGGCTGATTTCATTTTGCCTGAAATCCACCCTGCTCTGGACCTCTAAACTGTATCCCTGGCCCTGAACTCTAACCCCTTCCCATCTTTACCAAGCCTGTCCAAGTGTTCTGCAAACAATGTGCCAAAGAAGGCCAGCTCTTCTGGCATGCCTACCTTTGATCAGGACTTTGTTCCTTTACACATGAGAGTTTCCAGTCTACTCAGATCCAAGGTCAGTGGCCTCTGTATCTGTTGGCCTAGAGGTCAGGTATGGTTGTATTAGGTTGAACATTATACTAATGAGGAAAGGGTTTTCTTAGGAGGTTCTTTTGCTTGCAGAATGGATATCGCTGCCTTTTGAAATGAGGACATATGGCTTCTAGTCTCTCCCAGTACATCACAGAAGAATGACTGAGTTGAGGAAAAGGAGCCCAGAGCCTCATAACATGGAAAGATCCTGACCGTGCCTGTTCAGTTTTCCCTCATTCTGCACATGATCCTGCTATCTGCCCTTCACAGTACTGTGTGACCGTGGAGACAGATAAAAGGCTTCCCTTTCATATTCCTCTTCCTTTTCCCTTCCTTTCTCACTTCTTTTCCCTTTTTTGTTCTTTTCTTCAGTTAAAATATATGCAGTCACTTTCCTCCCTTTCCTTCCCTTGTGGTGGCCAAGGGCAGTGGAACTTCAGAGACTGGAACCAAGGGGGCAGCTGGAAGATTAGGAAATTGATGCTGTACAGGGAAAGTGAGCCAAGAGTCAAAAATATTGAGAATATTGAGATCCATGTTTCTCACTGCCAGAGAAAGGAGTTGCAAGGGATCTCTGGGGCACCATAACATGAAACAACATGCACTGTGGGAGTCCCAGAAGGAGAGAAAAAAGCAGAAGAATATTTGAAGGAATAATGGTAAAAAATTCCCTAAATTTGATGAAAGAGATGAATATAAATATCCAAGAAACTCAATGAACACCAAGTAGGAGGAATTAAGGGATCCACCCTGAGACATACTGTAACTAAACTATAAAAAGCCTAAGATTAAAAGAGAATCTTAAATGCAACAAGAAAGAAACTACTCATCACATACAAGGGATCTTCAATAAGGTTATAAGCAGATTCCTCTCAGAAACTTTGGGAGCCTGAAGGCAATGGCTAATATATTTAAAGTGCTAAAGAAAAAAATGTCAAGAGAATCCTATATCTGGCAAAACTGTCCTTCAAAAGTGAGGGAGAAATTAAGACATTCCCAGATAAAATCTGAGGGAGTTTGTTACCCCTAGACCTGCCCTTCAAGAAATGCTAAAGAGAGTCCTGCAGATTGAAGTCAAAAGGCCCTAGATAATAATGTGAAGCTTCATGAAGAAATAAAGTAAAGGAAAATACATGGGCAATTATAAAAGCTAATGTTATAACTCCACATTTTATTTTCTACATATATAAGAGGCTAATGCATTAAAAATATAATTATTAGTTTATGTTTTTAGATACAAACTGTATAATGATGCAATTTTGTGACATCAACAACTGAAAGGGGTGGGGAATGGAGCTTTAAAGGGCCAGAGTTTTTGTATTTTATTAAAGTGAAGATTCACATTAGAGTGTTATAACTTTAAGACGTTAAATGTATCCTCCATGGTAACCACAAGGAAAATAACTATAGAATATACACAAAAGGAAATAAGAATGGAGTTTAAATGTTTCACTACAAAAAATCAATTAAACACAAAACAACAATAATGCAGAAAAGGGGTAACAAAAAAGCTATGCAGCATATAGAAAGCAAATAGTACAATGACAGAAGTCCCTCCTTATCAGTAATTACTTAATTTTAAAAAATTTTTTAATTGATGTACCATTGGTTAATAACATTATATAACACCAGGTATACATTATAACTTGATATCTTTATACACTATAATGTGCTCACCACCAAAATCTAGTTTCCACTCATCACCATATATATGACTCCCTTTACCCTTTTCATTCCCCCCACCCCGCCCCCCCTGGTATCTACCAATCTGTTGTCTGTATCTATGAGTTTGTTTTTTTGTTTTATATTCTCCATGAGTGAAAGCATATAGTTGTGTGTTTTTTCACTTGACTTATTTCACTTAGCATAATACCCTCAAGATCTACCCATGTTGTTGCAAATGGCAATACCCATGTTACTTCATCTTTTTAAATGGCCAGGTAGAATTCCATTGTGGGTATATGTGTATACACATACACACACATACACCACATGTTCTATATCCATTCATCCATCAGTGGACACTTAGGTTGTTTCCATA